CATAAGAGTTAACAATAAATCAATTTTTGGTCGAAAAAATAATTTCTTTAATCTTTTTTGGGATTTTGTTATATCGTCCTTGGAGCGTAGATGAGGTGTTTAAGGAGAATGAATGAGCGAGGAAGAAGCAGCGCGGCAAGGTTTAGTGGAGATTTGAAAAAGAAAAAAAATAAAAAATAAAATAAAAGCAGGCAGCGGAGGGCAAAAATAAATAAATAAATAAATAGTAGCCTGGCCCAAATTATGTACGTAATTGGGGTAACAACAACTGTATATAAAATAATAAATTCTCCAATGTGTGTACGAAAATCATCATATTGAGATGGAATCTATTTTCATCTATCTATATAGTCTCTCCCATCTAAATATAAGACCCATTTTCATATAAACTAAATTTTTACACACACATGTATATATCATACTTCATAAAATCATATCTAAAAACTTATTTTAAAGTATGTTGTAATACAATAACAATATGTATGATAATAAAGTAATATAATGTTTCATTGTTGTAGTTGGTCTTTATTTTGATTTTTTTACTTATAGTTTCAAATTATAAATTTTAGTTCCCAATTCTATCAGTAAAAAACAATAATTCTTATATTTTAATTAAAATTTAGATTATTTATTTATTGAGAGACTAAAAATATATTATTTGAATTTATAAATATTAAAATCAAGATAAAAGCGGTATAAACTATAATGATCAAACACTATAGTAACCCAATAATAAATATGTCTTTACATAAACCAATACATACAAGATAAAATAGCATATAACACTTGCATATTATTTTTTTAATGCATTTAGTATTCCAATATTATTTTTTAATTATATTTAATATTTTAATTTTATTTATAATTCATGGTACTGGATACATTATAAATAAAATTAAGATATCAAAACATATATAAAATATTAGATGCACAGAAAATATAATTAAGGTGTTAGATGAAAGGATGTTATTTTACTTTTTAGATATAGAGCATGTGATGGAATGTGTTTTTCGTACATAATAACCGTTTGTGCGCGTAACACTTTCAGTCGCTGTCCTATCCCTGTCTCCTTTATCGGATGGGCGGTCGCTCGGCGTGTGGTTGTGGAGAGCTTAAAATCACTCATTTGAGTATCTGGTCCCCACTTTTGATCGTGGGACCCACGTCTTCTATCATGTTTGATGTTTCCTGGGGGGCCGCGTTGTCATAATTAATAACTCTACGTATAACAATTCTTTTTTATAATTTTAACATTTTGAAAAAATGCGGGAAGATCATGATTTAAACCACTTAATATAAAGAGGTGTTGGAAATAATATTGGTGAAGTGACGAAAGTCTATATTGAAATGTTATAAATGTCATTAGTAATGAGTAAATGATTTATGACAAGGCCATGTTACTTGTGTTTTTCTAAATGTTGAATTTGTAAATTGTAAATGACATTGATAAAGTTGTTAAACTCATTACAAGGGTCATATTACAATGAAAGGGATTTAATTACTTTAAAGTCTGTTAAGAAATAAATACTAAGTAATGATAAGTTTTAAATTAGGAAATAATAACAGTTTTGGGTTGATCATTTGTTATTACGACGTTTTGATAATTAAAATTTTATTTATATAACCTCTTAGTGATTGTCCCTATTATAATTTAACAACATCGTAAATTTTTATTTTAGTCATACGTATTTATTTGAAATTTCGAATTTTGAGATATTCTATTCTTTTTTTTTATTCTGGTTTTTGAAATTCAAAAAGTATTTATTTTTTAAGGTTTTTGCTAATGAACATCATGTACGGAAACCATTTTATAAGATGTGATAGAAAGGAATCTTTGTCATTTTATATATAATGGAGCGCCATCCTTGTTTTTTTATATATAATTGTTTGGACACATGGCCCATTCAATTATTACATTTATTTATTTATTTTATTTAGGTCGCCACTGTGTGGGCTGTCGTGGTCGCTGCATGGAAAAGCTTGGCGTCCCCCTTGTCGCTATTCTCCTTCCCACTCCCTATTCCTAGATTTGTCGGCTTCCAATTTTTTTCTAACTTTTGTTCTCTTCTATGAGGAGACCAAGATCAGTCACCAGTCTCCCTCATTCCCCGTGCTCCACTTATTTTATTATCTCGTAAAAGTGTGTTTGAGTAAAGTAAGAGTAAAGAAATGAATGCCGCAGAGATATCCTGGGTTTTTCCAAAGATTGTTAGTCCCATTTGTTACGAAATATTAAAAATAATGGGCAAGGATTGAGATTAAAATTAAAAAAAATTTGTTAAAAGAATGTTTAGTATGAGTGATTACTTGTTACTTAGAATTGGACAAATTCATATATATAGGATTGAGAAATATTATGAAAGAGATGGTATTTTCTAAATACTCTAATAGTTTTTATCAATTCTAATCCAAATTCTTATTCCTCATCTTTAACGACGTACTAAACGGGACCATTTGTTCTAGTGGCACAAGATATTTTAGGGGGATTTTAATTGGGATGATGATAAACGATTTAGAACTTATTTGAATTTTGGCAATATTTTCATCACAGAAGATAAAATAATATCAAATTGATATCATAACAATCAATTTATGAAAAAAAAAGTTATATATTAACTTATAAAAACAAAATAGTAAAATTTAAATTTCCTAATTTAATTTAGCTGGTCCAAAAAATGTTTGAACCTTCTTGCTGAGTCCTTTTTTTTTTTTGGGAAAAAAATGTCACAAAATTGTTTCATTAAATTGGTAAAATAGAAGGCCATGACGCCGGCTAAGGCACTGATGACTGGTGTTTCCGTGAGGCATGATTGAGGGGGGAAGAAGGGAACCTCTCCACTTTCATTGTGATTAACTTCCTCTACCTTTTTTCGTAATTCTCATCGTTAGATTAGCTTTCAACAATTTATATTTAAGAAAAACTGAGGTCAAATTACTTATGTCCTTTATGTCAAGTTCTTCAATTACATATGGCCATGTGCTATCTTTTGTTTCGTGTGATTTATAATTAAATGCTATTAAATATTGATATTTCAAAAATAGGATACATGGTTATTGTCCTGTATTTAATATCTTATAAAACTATTATTTTAATATCAACTACCAAAAAAGTATATACATAAATTTAAATTATTAAAATTTGATTTAAATAGTTCACATATGTATATTTTTATTAAAATATTTTATATATCATTTTATTTTTTATAAGATATTAAATTTTAACAATTCAAAGTTAATTTAATAGCAAGGATAAAGGAGGGGAAGAAAGTGGACAATAAGGGAATGGGAAAAATTCTTTTCCTGAGATGTAAACCATGCATCTCCTTATCATTTTTGCGTAGGACATCTTATCATTTTTTTTAAAAGGAAAAAAAAAAAAGCTAGGAACAAGATGTCCTTTATGATTTTGTTGATTCGGATTCGTGTGACACTTTGTTTAGGATTAAAAATCCATATAATATCACGAGATCAGACAACGCACATGTTATCTTTCTTCTTTTTTTTTTTGAATAAAAGTTACTAGATACAACTCAAAACAAAGACAGCATCAAAAAGAACAAGTAAAACCTAATCACCTTCATCACCCTCTGCCTCTCGGTAGGGAGGAGGAGGTTGATCAAGGATCCAAAAAGATGTATCAAGACTATGTGAGAGTTTAGCTAAATAATCAGTTAAGTGGTTTTCATCCCTATACACACGACAAACATTAATCTTCTAATCTCTATTAAGGAGTAGTCTAGCATCATCAATGATATCCTTGAAAGAGTCTTAGCCATCACTTCCCCTATTGAGTAGGATGATAGCATCTAAGCTGTCAGAGTGAAGTGAGATTTCGTTGAAATTCCTGCTCCAGCACATATTAAGGCCGTGAATGATCCCAATCATCTCTACAATCGTAGAAGGCACGTTTGCAACTAAACCCAACAATCCAATTTCTTGCGTCATCCTGTATCACTCCACCGCAACCGCTTCTTCCATCCTGCAGCACTGAGCCACCTATTGCCAGTTTATCGTCCCTTCGGCATGGCCACTGTTTGGTTCCTCAAGTGTCTCATGGAACCTATAAAACCTGTAGTGTTTCACTAGGTCTTAATCTAGGCATGCTCTGAAGAAGCTTGAAAATCCATTGTGAGGATCATTTGTGCTAGGCGTGCTAAAGAGACGATTGCATTTAACCACCCATATGTCCCAGCAGATATAACCAAAAAGGGTAGCCCAAGGTGTGCTAAAGAGATGATTACATGTTATCTTTTCTTATCTCACTATACATATTTGTCATTTTATTCAAATCACTATACTATTTGTAAGCATAACGAAAAATTACGAATATAATCCCTCCAATTCTTTTGGGCCGGCCATATTTTTGTTTACAAATCTTCAGATTGGTCCTGACACACACACACACACACATGTAATTTAATTTTAAACACATTTGAGAGGCTGCAATCTTCATCATTTTCAACAGGTGAAAGCAAAAGAAGCTTGGCGTTATGGAAATTATTGTGGAAGTGGGGACACTATACCTATCGCATTTGCAGAATCTGCCAAAATCACTCACGTTTCACATTTAATTTCCCCATTCTTAATTACTTTCCCCCCTCAATCAATCATGTAGTACTCCTCTGATTTTTAATAAAAACCTAATTAACTAATTTGAGTAGATTAAGGATGTTAGTTAAATTATTTCATATGATAGTCTAAAACACCTTAAGCATATTCCTTACTTCCCTCCTTTCTTCTCCTACTCAATTATTATTGAGGGAATATCAATAGGGTAATTTGAAAAAAAATGATAAAGATAGGAAATAGGTCTTACGTAAAGGAGCAACATTAACTTTTTAATTACGTTCTGCATTAAGAATTAGATGAATATTTAATAAAAGTGAGCTGTGATGAAGGGACTGTACGTAGCTGCCTCTATATATATGGAACAATAATGCTATGCAAGAACCATGCACAATCAAACGCTTGGCTCAATATCTATCACCTTCTAGTGCACAATGAGTTTGCTTGCTACTAAAATCTTCCTCCTTTTCCTGGTTTGGTATGCTTCCATTTCTCTTACCTCTTCTTCCAGTGTGCCGGATGAGTATTCCCGTTCGAACCTGGATCTAGACAATCTCGTTTCTGACACACAAGTGTTCCATCTATTCCAAATCTGGAAGAAGGAGACAGGACGAGAATACCAAAATTTGGGAGAGGAGGCAATAAGATTTGAAATCTTCAAAAGCAATTTGAAGGAAATCAGAGAGAAAAATGCAGAAAGGAAGTCAGCCAGTGACTACAGCTTGGGTTTGAACGAATTCTCAGATATGACGTACGAAGAGTTCAGCAAAATGTACTTGCATGAGACAGAGGAACCAATGATGGAAATCAACAATAGCGAAATGATATTGAACGACGCATCATGTCCAGATGCACCCTCTTCCTGGGATTGGAGGACCAAAGGAGCTGTAACTCGTGTTAAAAACCAAGGCAGATGTGGTAAGTTCAAATTTGCTTCGTTCTTCTGTTATAATCTAATTGCAGCATATAATAGGAGCATATAATAGCAAATCATATTCGTGTTGTAGGTTCTTGTTGGGCATTCTGTGCGACCGGAGCTATGGAAGGTATAAATCAGATAGTCACTCAACAGCTTGTAGCACTTTCTGAACAACAACTCGTATCTTGCTCCGGAAGTGGAGGCTGCAAGGGAGGGTCGACCTTCAATGCATTTAAATATGTCATCAAGCATGGTGGTATTGCCTCAGAAAAAGTTTACCCATATACAGCTAACGCTAGTGCTTGCAATTCTGCAGCGGTTAGTGTTTAGACCTGTGTGAACTATTGGGTAGTTTAAATATATGTAATTTTTTTAATTATTCTTACTCTTATTTTTATTCTGCCTTGATGCAGGCTGCAAACACAATTGCTACTATCGATGGCTATCATGATTGGTCGAAACCTATATCTGAAAGTTCCCTCCGTTGTTATGTTTACAAGCAACCTGTTAGTGTTTACATATATGGAAGCCGGATTTTTTGCGCTACAAAAGTGTAAGTCATATTTTCATTACCTCATCATCATATCTCTAGCATCCAAAAAACACATTTGAAAAGTAATTGCTGTTACAGGGAATCTTAATGGAGACGATTGCTCAAGCATCAGTTCATCATGCAAATCAATCATGCTGTATTAATCGTAGGATATGGTGACAAACTCAATTATTTTTTATATATTTTGGTATCTTTTATATGAGTTTTGTCAGCTTAATTGGTCCCTTTTTGCTTTAATTGATTTAATTTATTTTATTTTGAATTATTATTATAGGGGCAAAAGGGCAAAATTGTCAATTTTGATTTAATTGGACTAATGATTTTTGAGGACAATTAATGCTACCTTATCCTTGCATTTTCTTGCAGGTTTTTGGAAGAAATAAAAATGAAAATAAAGAAATAAAGAAATATAAAAAAAAAAAAAAAAAACAAAACAAAAAACAAAAACAAAAAGAGAGCAAAACGGTGCGCACCTGCTCCCCCAACCTAATATTCAATTATCTTCTTCTTCATGGGACGCGAACAAAAGACGGAGAGCGGGTGGCGGCGCTGAAATAGAAACACACACACACGCGAGGCACACGCGAAGCAGGTAGTGGGAGACGCAAGCGAGCAGAACACACACGAACACGCCGAGTGAACCTGAGAGCGAGCAGACCAGGGGAGCTGACGGTTTTCTCCACTCTTCCTTCGATATTCTTCATGGCTGGATACGTGAATTGCTGGTGGGTAGCAAACTTGATGGAAACCGTGGCTAAGATCTTCTGATTCTCCAATTCAACAATAATGGCAGGAGCTTGGATCTTCAAGGGGGAGTTCTAGTTACTTTAATTTCTTACTCAATATTGTTTAACAATTCCTAGGTCTTAGATAGTTTTTCTGATTGTTGGGATAATTATATTGCTTAATCTGATTTATTTGGGATTATTGTGACTGAATTATTGCTTAGTATTTGACATTGGGCTGTTTATAGTTTTGATTTCAATTATAATGTTGTGGTATGACATTTGTATGATTTTTGGAATTAATATATTGTGATTTTTTAAGGTGGCTTAGAATTTTGGATCATATAGTCTCTTACTAGCTTTAATTCTGTTATTTTGGATTTAAGAGTTCTAATTAAGCATTGGTTTTTTAGCATCCTTAATCCCATTTTTACTATTCTGGTGTAGTTAGTAAGTTGGGATTTTAGGAAAATATTTTGTGGCAACTCGAGGTGGCTCGGTTGTTGGATCAAAGTTTAATTATAATTCTTAATTCATTGTTTTAAACTCCCACATCTTTTAGAGTGATGATTGCCTGCCTTGTTGTTGAATTGAAGGATTGATTATTATCATTGTTATTGTGTGTTTCATTTTTATTTCTTTAATCTTCTTTCATTTTAATTATTTTATATAAAAACAAAAAAAGTATTTTAATTTCAATTTAATTCAAGGCATTTAGTTAGCAATTTTTCAAAATCAAATCAAAATCCTTTTTATAATTTAGGTTACTTGCATTTATTTATTAGGATAATTTCGTTTTCGGCTCCTCAAAGTGAATACGACCCGGATTGTGCACTATATTGCATTAATTCGGTTAATTTTTGGAGTAACCCAAGAGCGACAATTAAGGGAAGTACAACTTCAAGTGGGCGCCGTTGCCGGGGAGCCAAGAAATTGGTTCTCTAGTAATTAAGTGTCAAGTAGCCTTGATTGGGGTTCATTTTTTGAGCCTTTTAGTTTTCATTTTTGTTAGTTTTTGCATTTTCTTTAGTAGTTTGCATTTGTTTCTTTTGATTTTTCATAGCATTTTTTTTTCTTCTTTCTTTGCATAAAAAAAATTCAAAAATACAACTAAATATCTTGATTTTTCATTCATTGCATTTTTCATTCTCATACACATACACTTGCATTGCATTGCATTCATTTGTTTCTTTTGCTTAATTGCTTCTGTTGATTGATTGTTTATGCCAAGAAAGGGTAAGTCTAAAACCCTAGTTCCTTCTAATCTTGAGCTTCAAAGTTCTTTAAGAGAAGTTAGATAAGACCAAAGGGTAGAAAGGACTAGTGAGGTGTTGAACTAGACAATTTAACTGATCTAGATTTGGTGGTTGACTTAGGTGACATAATGGAAACAGTTAATAATCCTAATGGTAACAACAATGGTGGTAATGACAGAGGGGGCAATGGACATAATGGGAGCATGACAGAGTAGGAGAGAATAATGGAGATAACCCTAGAAGAAGAACCATTAGGGAAGCCACTACTTCTGATGCAAATTATGATCCTTTTAATGTTGCATGCCCTAATGTTGATGTTAATTTGAGATAAAGGTCCACTGCTTAATTATTTGCCTAAATTTTATGGTTGACACGGTGAGGACCCGTACAATCATCTGAAATCTCTCTCTATGATATGTGCTAGCATGAAGCCGGTGGGGCTAATCTGGTGAGGTTCTTTGGAAGGTTATCCACTTGTCTCTGGAGGGCAAAGCGCGAGAATGTACATGAGCTTGCCTATTATATGGCAGATGCCTACAATAACTGGAACAACCTCAGAAAAGCATTCTTGGAAAAGTATTTCCCTGCTTCCCGGACTTCTACATGAGAAAAGAGATCTACTCTGCAAAGCAAGATTATGATGAGTCACTTTATGACTACTGGAACCGTTTTCAGGACTTGCTTTCTAGATGTTCACACATCAGATTCCAGATGAGCAGTTAGTCCAATACTTT